CTGGGGGGGGGGGGGGGGGGGGGGAGGCTTCAAGGTTCAGTCCTGTCTCCCATATTATTTAATGTGTATATGAAACTGTTAAGGAAGAATTGTTCACAGGTTTGGACCTAGTTGTCGTGTGTACTCTGATGATAATTTACCTATACTTCTCCTTTTCTGTGAGCTCAGGATTAGACATCACACATTAGACAGTGCGTCTCCCGGTAGTAAAGATTGGATGTGGAAGTACAAGTAGAATAAGTACATGCTGTTGGAGTTAAGATTGGACTCTTCTTTATGTTACTTAGGTAGGTAGGAACTTAAAGCCTATCTTTTTACCCATGCTTTTAGTGTCTTAGAGGCACTAGTGTTTAGTTTTAATGTTGTTTTATATTCTTAAGTTATAAATGTATTCTTGTAAGCCAGCCAAGTATTGGAATGGCATATAGTTTTAGAATCAAACAAGCAAACAAACAAACATCACTGGGTCCCAGAATCTCTGGATGTTGTAACCCTGACTCATTTGGAAAACTAAAAAAATGGCTTTCAAACTATTTTTGAGGGAATTAGTATTGCTTGCATCAGAATGGAACTTAGTTTTATGGTTAATAGCTTCAATTCCATTCAGGAGAGTTTGGTTTGAGTAGCATAGAGGCTTGTGTTCTGCACTGAATTGTTCCAGATGGCTTTGGAAATAAAGAGTTAATAAATACTACTGTGAAGTCTGTAATACACTGAATTTTTGGCAACTCTTTTACGTACAAAAGGGTTTGTTTGATGCAACCTGTCCTTTTCCGAAGAAAATAGTGCTTATATTCTACTAGAGCAACTATCCTCTTAACAGCAGGATAAATGTCTACTGAAGACACCCTCTCCAAGGACGGGCCTGGATGCATGTTTTAGTAGGGTTGCAACATACACACACACGTATTGCAGTGGATTCAAAAATCCAGATGGCCACTAAATGACAGTAAAGAGTTAGTTTTCTGTTTGCCTTTCCATCTAATGCAGTGTTTCTCAACCTCAGCAGCTTTAAGATGCGTGGACTTCAACTCCCAGAATGCCCCAGCCAGCATGGAATTCTGGGAGCTAAAGTCCACACATCTTAAAGCCGCTGAGGTTGAGAAACCGTGATCTAGTGGTCATTTGCAGATACGATTCAATTACGGACTTAATGCTACATTTCTCCCACTCCCCTGTCCCCCAAAAGTCCAGCTCTAAATCACTTTTAGGATATCTAGGAAATGAGAGTCCAAATTAAAGCTAAAACACTTGGAAAGTAGGGATCGGTGACTACGGAAGGCTAGCCGAGAAAATAACGCCGACGGGAGACCTCGCCCTCCTCTCTCTCCAGCCTCCGAGGAGCATGTGCTTTGAAGCATCCAGCTAAGCGTGCGCCGGCACCCTGGCAACCGCATGCAAGAGGAAGCCCTGCTCTAACCATAGAGATCAGGTCCTCCGCAGGAAGCTGGCGAGGGAGGTCCCGCCTCTCTCCACCGCAGTTCTACGACGCCTCCCCCCCCCCCCCCGCTTCTTCCTCCAATATCCAACCGAGACGGGCGGACCCAAGCCCTCGCGCTCTCCTTGCTGCGCCCCTCCCCCTCGGTACGCGCAAAACTGACGTCAGGTGGGGCTTAATGTGTATGTGCGGCTTGCGACCTCTTGCGCAATTACGCGGCGCTCCTGTCTTTGCTGTGAGGAGGCAGTGGCTGGCGGGAAGGAGGAAGAGGAGGAGGAGAAGGAAAAAAAAGGAAAGTGTCGGTGGCGGCGCTTGGAGCCGGGGGATGGAGGATCAGCCGCTGCCGCCGCCCTCGCCGCCGCCCCTGCAGGAGCTGCGGGGGCGTTGCCCCCCCCGACTCCCCCAGCCGGTAAGTGGGCGCAGGCGGTGCTTCTCGGCTTCTCAGCCCTTCTGTTCGGGACGCGGTGCCCCGGCAGCTTCCCGGGCCCAGCCGGCCGCTGCTTTCCTCATGGTCAAGGTCTGCGTCCGCCGGTGCGCCCCCTTCCCCCCGGTTGGCCTGCTGGGGCTTTCCGCCGCCTACCTGTCCTCGCTAATCGTTTTCCTTCCCGTTTTTGGGGTCCGGGGCAGCTTTCTCGGTGTCCCGCGTACGCGCTTTGTCCTGCTCTTCTGTGGAAGGAGAAAGACATCGCGGGGAGAGTTTCCCTCCCGGAGGAGGTGGTCTTCTGGGCGATGGCGCCCCTCGTTTTGGACTTGGGTGGGTTTTGCGGACTGCCTGCCTTCGGAACCGAGCACCGGAATGGCTTGCGGTGTTTCGAAAGTGCTCGGGGAAGGTATGGCTCGTTCCCCCGGCTTCGCGTTTGTTTGCTTCCCAGCATGAAACAATCGCAAATGTTAGTAGGCGGGGAGGAAGGCAAGACTTGAAGCTTCTGCAAGCGATGGGCTGTTTAGAGATTGGTTCTCAGCGGTACCTGTGATTTTCAGTCGCTGGCTTAATTTTTAATTAAGCGTTGCGTTTAAGAGAAGGTCTGCTGCTGAGTTGCAAGTTACGTTTGTCTGGGGGTTTTGTGGTTACAGGCAGCATCCTCAGTTTGGTAACGGCTTATATCCGACTTTGCATTAGGTGTGCAAGGTGAGCTTGTCTCTCATTTCTCTCTGTGTTACTGATTAAGCTGCTTTTTAATAAAGTTAATTCTGGTGCTGGCCCAGGTTGCAATAATTTATGTGGGGAAATCTTAATTCTTCCTTAGTTATTGTTTCCTCCAAAAAAAAACAAAAACCCTACCCACCCTTTTAAAAATAAAAATAAGTGAGGGTTTTTAAATAAAGTCTTTAAAAAATAATAATACACCTCTAGCTTAGGAAATAATCAGTCAGAAAATGTATGGGTATAATCTGAAAATATGTTTGAATGACTGCTTTTAAAAAATGATGTGCTCCAGAAACTAATAATTCTAGGGAAATGCCTACTCTGCACGCATAGATATGGCCTGGAGAGATCTTCAAAAGTTGTCATCCAATACAACTATGACAGAATGCAAAAGTTATTAAATTTGTAACCAGAGGGTAATGTTAACTATATTGCATTTTAATTAAATCTGATCACATTTCTTAAATTTATGTTTGTCCTGATTCCATCCACTGCTTTTGGAATATGGCCCCTGACATGTACAGTAATTCAAAGATCAAGTGTGGCCCTCAAGCTTGAAGTAGTGCCCCCCAGCTAATTATCATCTAATTTAAAAAAAATACTAAGAGTCCTGACTGCATAAGCAAGTGATAGTATTTATAAAACCTATAAAGACATAGTTTTATTAGAACTGAAAACGGTATTTTTCCTAAGTTGGCAGAATAGTCACTTTGAGGAACTTCCATGTGATCAGAATCTTCATTAGTTTTTTAATCCAATTTCAGAAAAGCGTACAAACATATGAGTGAACTAAGGAATATTAATTTTACAAAATATTGAAAAGTTAAACCCACTTTTGGCCATGAATGTTCTGTAAGCCTTGTAACATTTATCTCTTCGTTACATCACAAGCAGTGGATAGCAGCTGAATGAAACAGATAAAGTATCACAGTATTTGTTTTCTTCAATCTTGCTATTTTGTATAGGTAAATTCTCCTCGTATCCACCTTTTGGGAGATATTAGTCATCTTTTTGTACTTCCCAAAATGAAAACAAGGGATTGCATCATTTCATCATGATCTGTATGGCTTCACTCTTCCAGTTCTTCAGACACACAAACTATGTGAACTTGGTCCTGCCAAAGTGACAAGTTACAAGAATTGTTCTTAGAGGAAGAATTTTTAAAAATTAGAATTATTAACTTATTATAGATTGCATTCATGTAGAGTTTAATCTCCTTCTTTCTGTGGTATGGTCCTTATTAAGACATTCCCCATCCACCACACCACAACTATTAATTTTAGAACTAAAATGTTTGAAACATATATTTTATTTTGTTGCCTCGATATCTGATGACTTAAGTCAATGGTTACTCATCATAGTAGTATTTTATAATCTCCATGTTCTGATGAGTATGATAGCTGATGTGCTCTGCCTGGAATAGTAAAAGGAAATAACAATTACTTTATAATATGTGCATAGGCTTCTTAAAGACATCTTGGGTGGCAGTTGTGAGATGCTGTACTAATTATATGGACGTTTGATCCGATTCAGTAGTGTTACTATTATTAGAGGCTTATTCCTGTGTTTCAGAGAAAATGTGAATTAGCTTTTGAGGCATGAATAATACTGTATATATTATGGCTATGAAGAGATATGGATTCAAAGGGCAAAATTTGCTTTGGAGAATATGTGGGTGTGCATCTGTCAGGAATCTCTTCAAATGAAATTAAATTTATTGAACTGTGGTCGATGACTACTAGCAAGTAGGAATATCTTAAAGCTGGTAAATGAGACATTTGATTGAAAGTGTTGCTGACAGGTGCTACTTGCACGTCCAAACTATATATTGAACTGAGCACAACCTTAATATGTATGTCTGTAGTTTGACTAGAATTCTAAATTCCTCAGTGTATTTTCCACAGACATTTAAAAAAATAAACTTGATAGGTCAGTTACATTAGTTCTATCGGTGTTTCTCAGTTAATAGTAAAGAGGAAGACTTTAAGACTTGGGTAATGGAAACTTTACATAATTTATTTCTCACTCAAATTTTGACTTCCTCTGATAGAGCAACAATTAGGGAAATAAAAAGAAATGGCATAGAAATATTATGATACCATTTCTTCCCTCTAATATAATGTCAAATCTCCTTAATGACATGTGGTTACTTTTAAACACAACTGGTGATGAAATTAATTAATTGGAAGATACAGTGGTACCTCTACTTACGAACGCCCCTACTTACGAAATTTTCGAGATACGATCAGCTCCAGCCCCCAAAATTTCCCTCTACTTACGAACTTGCCTCGACTTACGAGCCATTTTCCGCCCGTTCCACGTGGTCCGCGGCCATTTTTCCGCCCGTGCCACGTGGTCCGCGGCCATTTTTACGCCCATTCCATGTGGTCCATGGCCATTTTTCCGCCCGTTCCATGTGGTCCGCGGCCATTTTCCGCCCGTTCCATGTGGTCC